GCGTTTCCGGCGAGCCTGACAGACGCAAACAGGTTGTACAAGAAAAAAGCTCTCGGAATCGACAAAGATGGCAATTAATTAAAATACTCGCTCTGCAGAAAAGTGATTAATTCAAACACTCGGCGCGTTGAAAAACGACAAAGAACGGAGGAAGGACTTTTATACAAGCGGAGCCGAAAGTCATCCTCATTTCTCTCTAAATACATTATAACACTGGCTATTGATTCTTCTAGGGGGAGGGTGGGTGCTCTCTGTGGGGGAGGAAGGCTCTGTACAAACAGAACCGTACTCTCCGCTGTAATTATATTTTTTAAAACCGACGTTGCGAAAGATAATCGAGTTGGAAATTGAAAGAAATATCTTTCTTCGAGAGCAAATAGTGGCCCGCTAGCTTGGCAGAGAAATAATTTACTTTCTTTCTACGAAATCTTTTTCGAAACTCTCCTTTGCGCCCTCTCTCCCGAGAATCGCTTTTATGAGACTAATTTCGCGTTTTAAAAATTCCAGTAATAATGAAAAGCTCTCTGTTTAACTTGAGAGATTTTCCAACGTCCGCTCTTCTTGTGTCGAGAAACGTTTGTTTTTCCGAGACACTGCGGATTTAGTTAATCACTGGAATTGCTCTATTTACTCATTTCTCTTTCATAATTTATTCAGGCGTGTTATTTGTATAAAATTAATATTTTATAAGGTATTTTATTCGCAAGTAAAAATCATGATGCAGCATTGTTATTTTAGAACGAATAAATTTATTATAGAATCAAAATATTATCTAACACTAGCGTAGACACCGTAGACCCCCGTAGACCGATGTAAGGTATATTATATAATAGGTGTATGTTATTATTTCAATATACCCTTGTAAGTACATTATAATAATAACATGTAATAGGTATGCATACTGCTACATAAGAAATGAAAAATACAACAAATTCTGCTTACACACATAGTTTAAGTATTCTAATGCTATATGCCATGTCTCTAATTTCAAATTTAGCTCAGGAAGAGTCCATGTAAAAAACAATTAATATAGATATCCTTCACAATCATGAATTTTAAAAACACAGAAATCACAATGGGTAGAAAGTTAATATCTTTTCATTCAGAATAGTTACTTTTTCAAATCGCCATGGATTCCAAAACCTCTAGCTTCGAAACTAGCTTTTGAAGGTAAAACTGCAATACACAATAAACAACCTATATAACAATAAATTAGTCTGTATTTACGAGTTGTAACTGTGCCAACTACAAGGATATTTAACTTTGTAATAAAATTATACTACAAACTTATAGCAATCCAAGCAGATCACAAACCAACAACAAACTCTGTAGTGTTGCCAGCAGCAAGGCGCCGGCTATAATGATAGTTAACAACCGAGCTTGTCACCGTATATTGTAGTCCGTTGGGACCCGTACGGGCCTGTTATACGGTTTATAAGCTCGTATTTTCACGGTTAACTATTCTTGGCCGTTTATTTAGTTGTTTCGCTTTGTAGTGGAGGTAGTTGTAAATTATCTTCAAAGGTTTTCAAATGTTAGCGAACAATTGTTTTTGTGTGTGTATTTTTTTGTTGGCTGTGGCATTGGCTAGCCTTTTGATCTTGGATTGTCAGTACAGTAGTTAGCTCTAGAATTATGGTAAAATTAAACTTTATTGGGTGCCATTTAAAAAAAATCATCGCAGATCATCAAAAATCTATTTTTTGTGATTTTCGGACTCTGAAATCTATAAGACTGTTTTCAGATAGAAACATACCAAATTCATAAGTTCTAAAATATCTATTAACACTAACCATTAAGTAAATTACTTCAACCATTCAACCAAGCTATAGAAGGGGATTCAAATATTTCCAATACTAAACCACCTGTAAGCTCGTAATAATCAAGGCTCCACTAGAAAAAAACCATGCTGCAGGATACATGACGTCACACTAGTGGATGGATTCACTGCCATATTCCATATGTTTGGCTAAATAAGCTGGTTGTTTTTAAGATTTAAAGGGTATTTCCTTTGGTAATTTTAGTACAACTTTGTCCACCACTGTGACGTATGTTGCGCTGCCAGTGCTGAAGCATGGCCTTTTTTAGTGGGGCCTTGGTTTAAGTATGCATATCTAACCTTAAAATATTAATATTGTCTTAGAATTTACCTTCATAGTCAGCGTTCTAGGTTTCATATATCAGCTTTAAACGATTGTTGAATTTGAGCATTTTTAAAATCCAGAAAGACCAAACAAATCCATCTAAGAATTTTTATAATTGGTTCTATTAGTCTAAGATAACTTTGGTACAAACACTACCATATTAAGGTATGTACCAATAAACTTGGTGAATACCATTTAGGTAAATATTGCTCCCTGTTGAAAACTTTTACAAAAAATAACTTAAACTTAAAAACCTTTACAATCGCAAAAGTATACAGTAGTATAGTAAGTATACACATCGACGTTATCTTAAAATTACGTCTAGATTGATTGATATGAATCTCTTGATGTCTTAATTGTCTCTGGTTGTTTTGCCTTTAACAAAATATTATTGTAAATAAATAATTGGTGAAAGAGTGTAGACGAAATCTAGTACAAATATATATATTAAGGAGCGCAGTATTAGTCTTATGTGAGTAACTAATCAGAACGTTTCAGAATATACCAAACTAGGGGCGTTGCAAATCTAGTTTAACACAGTTGAAGTTCTATTTTGTTCTAGCATGACAATGGTGAAATTCTTCAATGTTATCTCTCGTTCTCATCGACCTGAAATAAACAGCTATCCGTCCCTTAGTCACCAAGATATTTATGAGGGCTGTTGTTTGTTGCTGGATAAAGAACTTTCTGAGAAATTGTCTTTAGTTTACCGGTTATTTCGATCTTTACTGAATTTTACATAGGGCCTATAGTAGAAGAACTTCACACTATCTAGGCTGTGTTGCAACTTTTGTGATTTTCCATATAAAATATCATTGTACTCCCACGCTTACTAATGATAATTGTTGTTGACAAGCAAATGAGAAAATACGTTTTAGATTGCTGATACCATTTATTCACTATATGATTTCTCTATTGTTACTCTACGAGACTAAACACTAATTTTTATTACGTCTTTTGTTACTGTTGTTTATTCACCATAGATTATTAAAACAACATGACAACTGTGTATACAAAGGATGGTTAAAATAGAGTTTCTATGATCAACGGGGGCACTGTACAGTTTTTTGCGTATAATTCTTCTCTTTTGAAAGCATTAGTTACCCAAATAACAATTCTCAATTGCTAATTACTTAGTCCAATTGGTCAGTATCACATGAATCAATCTCACTGCTGTTTAGACCGATATCTCCAACCGTCATCGTCTACAACTACCACAACGAAGTTGACAAAATTTTTCAACAATTCATCACCTCCAAAACCTCAAACATTTTGTTTGACAAGTGATTTTCCGCATATTCATCACTCTGGACGTTGAGTTCTAAACATATCACATTTCTACAACATCTGTTCGACAGACTAAACCTAGTGTTGATCTTTCAGCGCCCCATGACGTGTACACAATCACAGCATCACATGGAGGTTCCCAGGATTAGACCATGGGATCTCACAAGTGTTTTTCGCGTCACCTCCTGCTTAATCAGCTGTTTTATTAAGTGCTCCCGCCTCCCTCGCCCTTTCAATACGGGATTTGTCAGATTTGAACAGTTGAATAGTCTCATAGGTTGGTGAGTCTAGTGCAATTTTGATGGGTTAGTTTGAGCTTCGTGATTTTATTGGTTGAAAATGGACATTCTCAGTTTTAGTTTCCCAAAACGGTTTTCAGTTTACTGTGATTTATTGATAAGTTTGAACATGTCATAGCATAGGTTAGCGGATGGAATTCAATATTCTTTGGTTCAAGCCTCGTATTTCTAAAGAATAATATTTATATTTCAAACCATTTTTTATTGATATACTTGTATAATTTGCTATTAGTGGTTAGTTCATTGATCCCTAAAATAATAAAGGAGATTTCTTTAAGTTTAGCCTTCTCAATCTATTACACACTCTCGTCCTTAGCTTACCCGTTACCATTGTTTGTTTACTGTGATTAAAGTGCTATTATTAGTCATTACAGTCTAGTTTGTGTGTCGAGTAATCATTTTATTTAAACAAGATTATGAATGGAAATATCCGTTATCTGATTCGTAATTACTTCATTGGTCCTTAGTTGGATAGACGAGTTACGGCACAATGTTGAGTAAGTTAGAGCTTAATTAGTTAGTTGCATTTTAGTCAATAAATTTGGTACAACTTGTTATTATGGGTCTAGGTTTATCAAGTTCCGTTAATTAGGTGTTAACTAATCAAACACCTTATTATTAGTTCACATATGTATAAAGCAGTCATTCCGCTGATTAAGCAGTGATAGAAACCCGTGCGCAGCAGTATAATGTACTTCACAACCTAAAGTTTCGAGTCTATACTATTCTGAGACGACAAATAACACGAGTTTGGTCGATTAGTAATGTTTACTTCTACACATTGTTCATATTAACATTTGCATTGCTTTAAACTCAGGTGTATTAAAACTGTTTACTAGTTGAAACTAAAAGATACGCCGTATTGTTTTGGGAACACAACTATATTGGTAACTCTAACCTAAGGGTTTCTATTGGCTATCACGAAGCTGATGAACAACCATACTATGTTCGAACTCCTTGCCTTGTCCTGTTTTACACTTCAGAATCTATAAAATGCTCTACCTAATTTTGCAAAATACTGTTCAACCTTTACATCATTCATTGGTAGTTTTCCTGATGAATTATTGGACAAACTAATGAAAGAGTGGTAACTAAAGTTGACCCATTGTTTTGGGCCATGCTAATTACATCTGAATCCAGAATCTCCTAGGACCGACCATCATCCAGATTTGATGGCGAGCACTTCCACATCTAACACAATATTCCGCTCAGTATATCATGCTGTAGTATTTTTTATTATTTTCACCTCTAACTTCACTTCTCTTTGCAGATTCCTCCGAGTCAGGCTCCAAGAGCGGGAGAGACAGCAGCCGCGGGGGCGCCGCCAAGGTGTCTTCCGACGGTAAACCAACCAGAGTGCGAACCGTGCTGAACGAGAAGCAACTGCACACCCTGCGGACCTGCTACAACGCCAACCCTAGACCTGACGCGCTCATGAAGGAACAGCTGGTGGAGATGACGGGGCTGAGCCCGAGGGTGATCCGGGTGTGGTTCCAGAACAAGCGGTGTAAGGACAAGAAGAGGGCGATCGCTATGAAGCAGCAACTGCAGCAGGAGAAGGTGTGTATCTAGTAGTGATAGAGATTGTGGTATAGATTGTGGTAAAAATAACTCTTCTAAACAGTGTTCTTGCTCGACAGACATAGCAATGGCATATTGGGAAAAGTCTTGGGTTTATTAGATTATTGGAGAATTTTAATCCCGGGCTTTAAGAGCAGACGTACAGTGGCCTAAATTAAGACCTGCCAAGTCTCATCTCTATAGTTTGTATGATGGAACCTATCTCTTGAACCTCCGTCTACCTAGGACCGACCTGAGCCTTATGTAGACAGGAGGGTAAGTAGACCGGTTCCATCATACAGACTATAGAGATGAGACTTATAGTGGTTAGTAGGCTTCAATCTAGTAACTGAAGAGTCTGAAAGAACAATTGGGAAAAATTACGTTATCTGTTTAAACTTGGTGATTGCCTAGCATATCGTATCCTGAAACGTACAATTGACATATAATAAGTTGATAACATGTATGAAACTCTTACAAGCGGTCTACTGAGGTAACCTACTTTGGGGTTGGATATTCAACAAAATTTTCAAAGAGGCCTTTACAGAGTGTGCCGAGGGAACTCAGATGAAAAATAAAACCCGGTATTGGTCTAGCCTAATAGTTACGACATGAATTGCTAAACTTTTATGGCCAAGTGGGTTATACTGCTAAAGCATCTTGAGGAAACGATGATTTTATGAAACCGATCAGGGAAATTGCCACTACCATCCATAACGAATTTAATCAAAGGGGGATACGGTAACTAGTTGTATAATTTTTGTTAGATCTTAAATCTTCTCCCGATCTCAGGCGAAACAGTATCTAGAACTCGCAAGAATAATCATACAGAGAAGACTATATTTCGTATATTACTTCATTGTATTATTGTTGGGCGTCTCAACTGGACCAGCTTCAAGGTTTGGATCTGAACCAGATATCTCTTCCAATGTCACTTCCAACAATCTTGAAATGCATCTCATAATCCTTAACCTTTTCATATGAAATATTTCCTCACAAAACTTGAAGTGACGACCACTAAATCACTTGATACAGTTTCCAAGTCAAAAGTCCAACTGCACTTAACTCGTCCAACTTACAAATTTAGCGACATCGAGTCAATTCACAAATAACCCGACAGTCACAACTGTGGCAAAAACCGACGCCTGGAAGCGGCAGTGGCGTCTACCGCGGTTGTGAATCAAACGGTGGCGCCTAGCATGGGAAACTGCTTCTCCTCCCACCCAGGCTATATATGGATCTTACGAGGTACCGGCTGGAGTGCGATAGTCTATTCTCATTTGTATGGAATTTGGAACACTTTAAATTTTTAGGATGTTGTTTGCAATTTTTGTTTTTGACACTTTGGATGTACATGTATATAGGGGAAGATTTTATTTTGGACACCATTTAAAATTTACCATTAAATGTTTACTTTCAAAGTAATAAAGTAGAGCTAAATAGGTACGAATACTTCGAGCCTTACATTTATGTACGTACATGTTGTAATCTAGTCTACAATATCAATTTTAATGACTGCTTTGCTAAAACGTTTTCTAGAACTGTAACTAGTTTTGCTATAGGCCTAGTGAAGTTTTGCTTCTAAAATAACATTTATTGAGTATCAAAACTCTTTGATAGTTTCTTTTGTAATAAAATCATAAGAAAACCCTTAATTCCCAGGAATTATTTCAGATGAATCTTTTAAGATTTTTTTATTTATAATAATTTAAATCTATAATTTTATCTAAATAAAAACTCCCCCAAGGATAACAAATTGAGTTTCAACCACGGCTAGTTTATTGCTAAAAAACAACCATTGATGTGCATAATCTGTACGATTAATTGGCGCGTTGAGTTCTCGGACCGCCTCGTAAATCACGTCCCCAGCGACACGCCAGGTACGACGCCAGCGCAGTCTGTCGGCGACAGTCCTCAGGTGTGACTTGACCTTGGGTGATAACGCTGGGCGGAGACTGGCCGCCATCTTGCTCAGCCTCCGCTCTCCACCGCCTTCTGTATCTGGCGTGGGAAACTGTCGAGTCATGCGTCTCCTTACATGTACAATGTTAAATTTCCTACATCGAACTAGTAATAAAAACCGTTAACTTTATAAAAGTGAAATTTTGAAGTTATTCTAGAGATTGTTTCGGATATTTTCTATGACGGTTAGTAAAAAAAAAAAAAATTTCACGACGTTTTGGGATCTGGAATCTAATTCCGTCTTTAGGTGGGAGAGTAATTTAAAACATTACCAATATTGAGTTTCAAACAAGTAAAACTCCATGTTTGGTATTAAACGTAATGCGTTTTAGTTTCATCGATGTAGAATGTGGAAATTGTTGAATTGACACAGTATATAAACCAAAGCGCACAGAATAGAAATAAACAGAATAAACCAACGATGGTGTGTATTCATCATGCTGTAAAGTCATTTTGATGGGTAGAATTGTGTCTGGCTACGTTTGAGCATAGATAAAAGGAGTATAGACATACTCCATAAACATACATTGTCTATACTCCTTTTATCTATGGTTTGAGTGTCTCGGACGTCGACTAAACATTGTTAAGGGTTTAAAGTGTTATAGCGTTGACTGTATTTTCAGTCAATGGTTATGGTGTGCGAGGCGAGAAATACTTTATGGTCTATGGTCATAATACCAGAGCATCTGTTCAATTAATAAATCTTACGTTTTAGTACTTCTGTAAAGTTTTTTTAACATGGTATGGTATAGGTTTAAAGTAAACCTTAATATAATATTTTACATAGTTAATATATTTTTTTAATTTTTTTTATCTTTACCAATATGGGAATGAAATTGTTCATGAAGTTACTTTTACCACGCTTCATAACTTTCTATTCAAAAAATTGACTATAATTCTGATTAATGTATCTCGTCCGATACAAGTATATTAAACGAATTATCTCATAAATAAAGTTACAAGTTGAATAAATTCAATTTGGGAGATATATCAAAACATCAAAGGTAACCTATAACAGCTTCCATGTTGTGTAGATGGGTACCGGACACCATTGATGGGTTATCGAGTAGTCATGGTGGCACTAAACATACTTACTCACTAAAAAAATCCCCTAAAAATTCCAAAATGGTCGTCTTATAAAATCTATCACCTCCTCGCCTATAAGACCCTACCAGTCCCGACCCTTCTTTTACCTACAACCCTTACTTTGTCCCCTATCACCCCCAGGAGTCTAAAACACGTAAGGCGATCCTCTTGTCGGCGCGGCGGTTAAGGACACAGGACCAAAGTTTGCCCAAGTTTTGTGTTTGTCAACACACCTTCAATACCTGCTTAGCATGCGTCCTCTGCTCCTCTCCCTGTTGTCCCTTGTCCCTTCGACCCTAGGGATTCAGTGTTTGCCCAGGCGATGCTCTTCTCTTTTGTACGACGTTTTCTCTGTTATATTTAGCTCTGTTGTTTCTGGCCCAGTCGGTGTTGATTCTGGGGATTACTCGAGCATTGTTATAGGTTTGGAAGGAAGTCAGTCTTTTTATTGTGGTAGTGTAAAATGTTGATTTTTTACATTTTAGGTGTTTTGTAGAGTTATAATAGGCATATCTTGATAATTGCATAAATAATCCCTAATGCAAGCGGCTCTTAATTTGGCTTCTGTAGAAGGACAATTAAGAGCCTAACACCTATTTAGATCATTATCACTAAAATATATATTTAATACCGTACTATAAACGTTCAATTTGAAGCGTTGCCTGTCTTACATAAACAATGTCAAAAGCATATAATAAAATTAATGTGGTTTTATTATCTTAAAAGGTATACTGTATCACTGCACTTTTCATTTACCAACTGTTAAGTCAAAATTGTATGTGTTATATTTTCAATGAAATTATAATTTTGGGTTTTTATCGGTCACTTATATTAATTCCCAGATACAAATAAGATTCAAGGAATTATTTACAACGATAGTGCGATTTTTTTCTGGAAATATTACACATTATGTATTTCTATGTTTTTTCTGTTCTTCTATCGTACGCTAGTTATAAAATAGTAGGTCTACATAATATCACATAAGGTCTACATCAAATATTTTATATTGACTGTGCTTTTCAATAAATTCATTTTTATTTTAAACAACATACTATCGATGTTAGTGTTTTAAACTGTTTAAAATCATTGAATAAACAACGATTAATAATTCAAATACTCCCCAGTAATATCATAGATTAAACATACAGTATGTTTAATCATTGACTTATATATATTCAATGGTTTAATCTATGGTAATATTCACCACAACGCAACTATGGGCATCGCCTGAAAAGTCAATGCGACAACCCGCCATACAAAGTACCCATATTGCCTAGCCTGCGCCGTTACATTCTGACATCCCTCTGAAAATCACTCCTAAAACTGGATTATGAACTATTGAAACAATTTTCTTTACAAACATTAAATGACTTGTTCAGGTTATAATGGTCCCATGAGAATGCGTATTGGTTATATGTAACTTTGTACAACTGGTTTTTTACCGATGCTATTTTACAGATCGGAGACACATCGTTGCTACCGTGAAAAATATGCAATAGCATTATTATAAAGATATAAATACACAATTGTAGTGTTCAGCAATCCATAAATGGACCGCCGTTAATTTATAGTTTAACCTTCGGACTAATACTGTTTTCCAACACAATTTCATCATTATTCCAATCAAGCTGCATTTAAAATGTTCAATAATAATTAAATAGTTGAATAAAATGCAATGTAATTGTCTGCTATTGTTTTTGGATTGAACACCAAAAGAATACTGCCTAACAGTTGACGGAATCATGCGGAAAAATATTGATAAAAAATAGTTGGTTTAAAATTAATATCTGAAAATCGACGGGTATCGATAACTGAAGTGCAAGTTAATACAAATACTTGATATCGTATTTGACACATTTCTTATACCTACGCTAATTTTCAGGCAAGTCAATGAACCTTAAATTCACACAAAACACCCGACATTACAAGACAACAAAATATTATCATCTATAGCCTTATGCCTTATTTTCTAAACATCTAAATAACATCTTTAACCGAATCTCAACAGTAAAACCCATCGAGAAAGCCACCAAAACAATAAAGTAATTCCACCAGAGATGTAGAGTCTTGAGTTAAGATACGACTTGTGAAGATCGCGCAGTGAGGACCTGGACCTAGTATTATACTTTGTAATTCGCTACAACTGTGGGGAGGAGCGGTTCTTTTTATGTTATTTATTTGGTTCGATTCCAGCTACAAATCTTTAGTTGGTTGTAAGAGAGGTTTTATTTGGTTTAGTGTTTCCCATTTTAGAATTTTCTTTATGAGTTAGAAACAATTTTTCCATTTCCTCTTATAGTTATTTTATATAGAGATGGACTGTTAATACAAGATTGTTTACACACATTTGTAAAACGTGTTAGTTGATTCCCGTTAAAAAACAGATAACTGTTAAAAAAATTATTGGGAAGAACATATTATCTAAATTGAAAGTTTAAAGGATAAATATTATAGTATTATCAAGCTATACTAAGTTTTCAGTTCTTTTTTTTACAAATTTACAACTCTGAGCAACTACTGTAGGCCATGAAACTATATTCAATTATATCTTATAGTTAAAAGATACAAAATTATTTTAAGTCTTAAGACTAAAACAAGTATAGGCTTACTTTTTATGCATACAATCAGAATACCATCATTCTATGGTTAAAAAGACATATTTTTATGACGGTTACTAAAATATTTGGAATATTACATAAAAAACAAAGATGACCTTAAGAAAACGAGTCAAAACCAGTTGTTAATTAAGACTGACTGACTGAAGTGTCCTCAAGATATTTATTTGAAATCAAAGGGACCGTTCTATAATCAAGTTTGTCGATTGGTTTGTCAACAGAATGAGTTTATCAATGACACTATTGAAAACCCTTGTTGTGATAAACCATGTTATCATAATATGATAACAAGATAAAAGCACAAGAGGTTATATTGGGTTGATTGGCGTAAGTGTTTTTAAACAGTGTTTTGTCAAATATTTATGGTTATATCTTTATATGGTATATCTTTTCACAGGTGTTTTGCTATTAAGAACCACTTATCTCGAATTTCATTGAGAAAGTTTTGAGTGGGTTACAAAATTGAGGGAACCGTGTTTGATATTTTGCTGGTCATTTTGAGGGTATTTCCTATAAAACTTGGAAGTTACAAATATGTTACATTGTAAATGATTCAATTTAAAAACGTATGGTACAAAATCGGGCGTAGTGAAGAACTCTAAAATATCCAAAAGGCGTGGTAAGGTAAACTGTATTACTCCCTGAAATGTATAGGAAATTAATGTAAACTACTGGACAAACTAGTATAATGTTTAAAATGTTTGCCCTTTTTATTAGGTTTTAAGTTGCCGAGGAAAACAGAAAACCCCTATAATGCCGATTGAAGTTAAAGCGGCATAACCATTCCCAGTAGAGAAATAAGTTATAATATTGGTTACGCCAAAATATGGGACATATTACTCTTTCAATAAAAATGGTACAATGTGAAACAAAAACTGTTTGGGATGAGTATCGTAGTGCAGTACCCTCTGATATCCACGAATGATGTTATAATTAAGTATGACTATCAGGAGTACACATAATAATCAAAATTACGTGTTACGATTAAAAAATACAGTGAAAACCAAACAAAATGAACGTAAAGAGTATCGGACCTACAGCGCAACCCTGAGGCACCCCGCGGGCTAAATCACGATATCTGCCACTTGATTGCGCACAAGCCTACTTGAGCCAATTACTGTAGAGGAGGGCTCAACATCCCTTATTGTCACACCCCCGGCACAACACCTCCCAATTTGTGTCATCTTCACTCATTTCACTGGGCGACCATGATGGGGCGAAATTGAAGAGGCTATTACATGCTTAAGGATTACACAGTCGGGCGCTTCTGAAGATCTTGTAAGGTTTTGATTGAGGTCACTTGAGTTTTTACGCTTGGTTTAATGTAATTGGAGATGTCTTTTACACCAAAGAAGGTGTAAGAGGTTTTAAACTTTTAGTACATTAAAAATTGTTATTACTCTTGAGTAATCCCAAACACAATGTTTTAGTTTCCACACTCGTGACTGATTGAAATGTTCACTTGGTCTTAACAGTTTATTAAAAATTTATCGATTTGTTCAACCGTTATATTGGTTATATTGGTATTTTAAATTGTACATAATTGGAGTGAATTTTATTGATATCTCTCAAAAATTGTACAAGCTCAAATTTAAATATTTAAAAACATTTTCAGCAAAAAATTTCAAGTTAGTCTTCTTGGGTTTCTTGAGCTTGTAAGTATTATCCTGTAATAATGATCACTATGGATTGAATTAAAGTATGCTATTTCCACTTCTCACAGCTTTTTCTCTTATTGTCATACAATACAAGTCGCATAAACCTCTACAAAATGAAGACACTGAAACGTTTATATATACTTTTATTAATCTAATTTCCCTAATATTTATGCATCATCCTGTAGGGTGATTTTTAAGAGTGTCCCAAATCTTAATATTATAGCTTTATACAAATTTGATATTGACAATACATTTTGGAAACATCTTCCAAAGCTTTTACTTCAATATCGACAATTCTAGTTAGAGATTATTACAAAAACTCACTAATATTATTGCATCATTCGTTGGCCCACGAACGTTCAAAGCCGCAGCGTCATGAAATTTAATTTTATCTCACTAATTAAACCACAAACTAATTTGCGATCGCACAAAGCTGGGATCTGTAACTCGCGGAACTATTTCTAGTTTTAATTAGTTCGCATTTTCCAATCATCAGTTTGTGGTGATGAACAATCTCTATGATCTGTCCGCTGATTATGACTGCATTGATGTAATTTATAACGAATTTGTCAAACAAATTTGTATTGTACTTTTACGATGGTTACTTATATTGGTAACTTATAATTCTTATTCACACAAAAGATTAGTTTTGTTAAAGGGGTTGTTATAAATATCGTGTTAAAGTTGTTAAAGTTCAATTAAATTTATTTATTTGCTCAAGGGAACTAAGGGGATTTCGAAAAGTTCCTAAGGGAACTAAGTTTTACCCGAATTCATTTTACTGATTCACCAGTATTTAGGACCTACCACAGATTAAATAGTGGACGCTTACCCTATTTGATACACTTGTGTTGATAGCAGTTTGCGCAAAGATTGTACTGTATAAAGATAGAGTTAACGACACTGTAGAACATTTAGGCCCCTCGCCCACTATACGATTTCGGTCGTACGACACTGTGTCGGAACGACAACATTTCCACAGTGAACCATTGGATCTTATGAGAGCTCGCCCACTGTACGATAATCTCACGACTACGACAAACTGTCGTGAAGCAGTCGTCCACTGCCACTGTGATCCACGACTGTCGTACGACTGTTTCACTCGCAGTGGCGTACACAATCAAATGGGCGCTCGCCCACTATACGATTTTTATCGTATGTCGTGCGTTCTCCCCAGTAGTCTTATATATACTTTTTGCAATTAACTCATACTTAGTCATTATTATAGTTGTTATATCACTTTGCGTATTTCTTATCGTGAATAAATATTTTTTACAATTCATTCATACTTTTTTATTATAATGTTTGATATATCACTTGGTCTTATTTTCCAACCATTATTTTGCGTAATTTTGATCTTCCTATTTATTTTTTACAATTTGTTTATATTTTTCCTTATATTATGTTTAAATACTGCATCACTTATGAGTAAATATACCAAAATAATTATTGAAAAATGCGAGTTTTGCTATTATTATTGTATAATCTTAATTATTAATTATATTGTGTAAAAAAGTTTCACTAAAACATATAAATATATATTTTTGTAGATTATATTGATAAAATTAAATCTATTTAAAAACTAATCCAAAAACAATTAACATACATACTTTTTACCAGACTATCCCAAAACCCTATGATAGTTATGGTAAATTTAAAAACTTGTAAAATGCATGGACTAATATAATTTGAAAATTTCTTTCAATACATTAACTAAAAAATAATTTACACATTAAAATAAATGTTTCTTTAATGCTGTAGGCCTACATTGGCAACTATCGCTTAATCTACGCCACAGCAGCCACATTGCAACAACACGTAACGGAATAATTGTTTTACTATTTGATACAGAACCACTGTTTTAAGATATTGCGCACCACACCTACACCTCACTCTTCCAGGGCTACCGAGCAACTGGCCATTTATCCGACAAAGTGTCGTAAAGTGGGCGAGGACCACACATATGATAAGAATATCGTACGACACAGTGTCGTACGACCGAAATCGTATAGTGGGCGAGAGGCCTAGGTACCAGCCTTGGCGAGTGAATTAAACACTTCTACGAGTGTAAGATACCCTTCTGATAATTAATTTCACAGGTTTCTTCACACTTTTCATAATTTAAAATTTATATGAATATTTTCTGTACCTTTCTTGACCTAGAGACATACCTCCTTCCATCCAACTGTTTCTTCCTAGATCAGCCTTTAGTCCTCGCCCTAGTTAACCCTACGTCCAGCGACCTCCTCCATCCATAGTTCTAGATACCTCACCATGTACCCAGTAACGCTCTCACGGTGTGCAGGTGCAGATGGGCTACGGCAGTATGCAGGGTATCCCTATGGTCGCCAGTTCACCGGTCCGCCATGAGAGTCCCCTGGGCATGAACCCCATAGAGGTCACCTCCTACCAACCGCCGTGGAAGGCGCTGTCGGACTTCGCCCTCCACACGGACCTGGACCGCATGGACCCGGGGGCTCCTCCATTCCAACACCTGGTAAGTCAGGTGAGTTTGCGACCACCTTTCTTAATAGGATAGATCTTTTGCTTTTCCCAAACCCTCATCGTGAATTGACGAAATTTCCAATCTGAAATTTTACTGTAGTCAAAAAGATTTTGCAACCACGTGTTGAAAGAAATTATATTGTATGCTAACGGTGTTCACGTACTTCCCCGTCTCTTTATCTAAAAAAATGAGATGTTCATTTTCTTTAGGCTTCAGTAAAAAGTGGCGACTTACTGCGAAATACTGCAGTACTTCAGTAAGCTTTAGAGGCAACGAATTTAATCAATTATCTTTCAGTCTATTATTTGTGGTGACTAAATACGGGTTATTTTTTTAGAGGACTGGATATGACAGCGTTCTGATGTTAATTAATCGCCAATAACTCTTAGTGATACCTATTTTTAAAACTGATTTTCTAACGATTTTATGCTTTGAGCACTAAGATTTTCTAGAGTTAGCAAATTTTGGAGGATAAGGTGAGCATTATAACCACTATGATGAAACGATATTCCAAAACCCTTAGAATCGCACTTTGAAACCCACTACTGAATTTGTGAGATGTTAATCACTATTTATCCAACTTGCATGGCATAAAATATATCTTTGTCATATTGGCAATCATATATTTTGATCTACTCAGTGGTGAAACTCCCCTCATCCAAAACAGGGGACACCTTAATTTTTCTAGGGTTGAAAGTCAACAAGGTCGCTCCGATCACCACAAAGTGTCCCCAATTATCCAATACACCCAATCAATGTCTGAGTAGACCGAATCAAAGTGAATTTGGGATCAGATCAGATTTGTTTGTGGCTACCCCCCTCCCCCTCCCCACGGGGGCTTTGAGACCTCTGCACAAACACTACCTCTTGTTTGTTAGGAAACACAATTTGAATTGCAACTCCTTTTCAATGGAGACCGTTATTTGGACATTAATATTGACAGACTCTTTGTACATTTGTCCGTGAGTTTGTTTTTCGTTGCTTCCAATATCTGAGTGCAGTTATCAATCTGTGTTTGAAATTATGTTGTTGAAGTGGATGAAAAAGTATACATTTGAGAGAGATAAATCAATGCAGATTACTGTTCAACGTTGCCTATTAATAAATATGATTGCATTTTAATGTTAAATTTTGCCGTTTTGTAAAGAACATTTGTATTTGATCTTTGACAATGGCTAAACTGAGAAGCTGCAATATTAAACAGGTTACCCAAAAGAGATGAAATTGATGAAAGAGATGAAACATTGTCCTTGATGGATTTTCAAACTTTCTTATAATTACCTATTTCTTCTGAAAACTTGTTCGCTTTACAATAGTAAACGTTTATTGAGTTTAAGTTCAATGACGAAGAGACAATCATCGATCAATGCTTGTTTTTACTTGTTTGTCTTCGTCAATCATATTATGGACAAAGTCCCTCAAAAGTCAAAATTGTTCTAACAAATAAGTAATTGTATATTATCGCTCATCAGCAACTGAGACATTCCAAACATAAATCAACAACAAATTGACCAAACCAATCTTTTTAACGCATTTCCTTACTGCAAATTGCGACAATTTACCTTATATCCTCTAATCCCTGCCGCTTATGCCGTGTCCATCGCAGCTTATGATGATGAAATGGACGGTTTTGGCGGGACGGGGGTTGAGTTTGCGCGGGTAATGCTATAATCCCCCGGTGAAAAGCCAGCGCACACCTCTCACATCTACTGTTTCACGAAATGGCTAATGGCGTTCCTCTAAATCGAGGGATTATCGCTCGGCTAATACAAACGTAGCCAATCTCCGACTACATGGGCATTATGCAAATATGTCCGGGCAGAGGGCTGCAGCGTGCAGCGCCCCTAGTGACAGGGACGGTAACTACAAACACTCATTGATCAATTGATCATAGATCGTAAATGAAGCGATCTTTGCGTACATATTTTGACGGTTGTAATCGGGGTTTAATTAGTTACAAAACCAAATACCGAACTCAATGAAAAATTCTTCTCTAAAGATTTCAATTGTTTATCGAGAGGAAAGATTATCACAGCATTGAGTCGAAAAACCTTAATAATTTACTGTAAACGTTTCCATGTTTAAAATAATTGGATTAGTGTGTGGGAGGAAAAGATACATTAAGAGTATGATGCGTTCATAAGTAAAACTTTCACAAAAATGCTAAGGATGCCACACAAACAAATTTGTTGGAGATCAGCTGGTTTCACAAAGCACAGTGCCTTAACAAGAACGTACACATATTAGGAAAATAAGTACGGTCACAATTAAAGAACAGTGTTCTTTCGTTACGAAAATTCTTGCGTTTGCGGAATGGACTTTTGTTTCTTCCTGACAAATTGCCTATACCATTAGAAACAAAGGACAATGGGGTTTACAAAAAATCTAAATTTGAAGAGATTTTCTCCAGTGGTTGAAAAAGTGGCCAGTTGACCACGAAAATGTCTACTTTTGTGATGTTTATTTTATGTGTCTCTATGGACTTAGGTAAGCCTGCTTTCCTGTCAATTTCCTTAATAAATTTGAAGAGAGTTAACGGTGGGCTGGGCTTACTTCCTTTAACATCTCAGTGCGATAAATTATTCTTCTTACTACATAGGGTTGTGATTTGGCGTAATAACCGAAGAGTAGGATTTAGTCTCAAATTAAAGGTAGATCTTTGTCAGCGCTCTCTAGCAGCGTTTCCAAGTTTCAGATGACAATAGGACGAGAAGCCTACTTACAGTTTCCACTGTCAATTTCAGCTTCAGTATCCAAGTCTGGCGTTGACACCGGAACTGTCTCTCTGCCATTCGAGTTTTCCGCAAACTGCGGCAGATCTCGAGTATTTGCCGAATGTCAGCGCCAGTTCGGACAACGGTTTCGGTTTGTTAGGTTGACTGCACTGTTTACATTGGCTACACTGGAGTCGGCTTCCGGCCAATGATTGACGCGGGTGCATTAGCGCTGTCACTTCCATAGGCGTAAACAAAACTGAGCTTGTTTATCGTGTCAGCTGTTCAAAAATTCAATGCGGTGATGCCAACTTTGGAAACGTGAAACTAGTGAATTGTACTTGGATTGCAAATAGTCAGTACTGTAATCAGACTGTGGTAGTGTCACTTTTGTAGTTATTCTTTTTTATTTCTTTGTATGTTAAATTTAACCGAAAAATATTGTGCTTGCATTCCAAAAATAAACACATTTTAGAATATTTATTTCTCCTAATGTTTTGACATATCCTTATGATGGCTATCCAACAACTACGTCGAACCTCCTGTTCATGCAAGTAAATAATTGCATTGACGGACTATACACATACTGCGTTGTTATTAAAATCAATGAGTACGGTTGTTAGTAAAATTGCTTTGCATTACAGATCATACGACGAACATATTTACGTTTATTTTAGTGATGTTGCATGACAAAAAAAATAACGGAAATAGCAATTTTTTCGTAATATACCTATAGCTTATATTATTTTTCCAAATTTTTAATCATCAATATCACAACAGCCTATTTACAATATTTGAGCATAATATAAAAAAAAGTACATTTATAACTGCCGTTTTAATCATAACGCGATTAATTAATCTGTAATCATGACTCACTGTAGAATATATTATTTTGAATATATATATTGTTTATATCGATATTTACTTCCTCCGTGTTTTTGTTTCTCATTGTTTGCAGAGAAATCACGTCATTTTCTATTTTCGGTCCCAAGACAATAAACCAATGGTTTAGTCGTATGCAAGGGTATTTTATTGAGGGTTCAACTTTTTATCTAAATAGCCCTAAAAGCCCTGGATCGGGTCACTAATCCAAAAAGGTGTCAGACAGGCTAAACCCGCCGGCGCCGTCTGCCCAACAGACGTTTTGTTTTGGAAATGTTTCTCCCTTTTGGAGACACTTTTGGCACCACTTTGTTACAACTGTGGGAATCTGTTTTAGTGTTATTTGAGGTTTCCTGTTATAAAGACCTATCGATAGATTTTGAATTTATTGTTTGATAATTCTGAAGAAACTGATTCTTTTTCCAGTGGCGGAAAGCTTTTTACTTTTGCTTTTTACTGTGCAGAAGATCAAATTAAAGTGAATTTTACGAATACATAGATTGAAAGGGTTTGGTTGGTAAATATATGACGAAACGTGCGCATCAATGTTTTATATTTACTTAAAATGTTTAAGGAAATATCTTCTGGATGCTTATTAAGATTTTCCCTGTCTACTTATGTCCAAAGGTGGATAGTTTTGAAAAGGTCCAAAATATTGTGTTCCTTAAATGATTACTCGTTGATTTACTATATTTGATAAATACACTAGCTTTGGTTATAAACATTACTACAGAATTGCTTCAAAAGCTCCCAGAGGCAAATATTTTCAATTAAAACAACAATGAAGATATATTTGGACATTTTACCGTAAATTATACAGGATTGTGGTTTTCTTTCTTATGATGTAATTGCTAACTTGGTAATAATTTTGATGAAAAGCTGTCTTCATCATCCATCAATAGTACTTTCTACGTTTCTCTGAAAATTCAATTTATTTTCTTTTGATGACGATTAAAATCAGCTTCTCACATCCGAAGTGTTTTTTCTAGAATTCACGTACTGTGTTTTATTTCCCTCACCCTGTACTTGGTACAAACCGTGCACCAAGTAACTTAAAATTATACGAAATCCTTAAACCTTTGACAAAATATTGCACAAGACCCCTCTTCTACCTCTCATTCCTTTTTACTCAGATCCTTGTCGTTTACAATGGAATGACTCTTAGTAATGCATTATCAAGATTTGTTCCATGTTTTGCTTACAAATTTAGATTCTTCATCAAAAGATCTCGTTGAAATTACCAGAATCAGATAGAGCACTCTCAAAGATCAATACCTTCATTTTCTTCCTTAAATGTCACAAGGATAAGGAACATACGCATTTTCGTGTTTTTCTTCATCAAAATCTTCTTCATCAATAGGTCCCGTTGAAACGATTGATACTTGATTCACCAATCTATGAGAA